AACTCTGAAGCTTAAAAAGTGGCAGCAGCTTCACAGATGGAGGGCGGGTGGTTTTCAACATGTGGCTCTCGCCCCAGCGCCGCGCACACTCGTGTTGACAATGCGCCAGAGCCTCACGGATTGAGGATAACCCGTTTTCAAAATGTGGATCTCGCCTTATCGCCGCGCACATTCGTTCTAAGCATTTGCAGGAGCTTCACGGACTAAGGATAAACCGTTTTCAAAATGCGGTTCTCGGTTTAGCGCCGCGCGCATTCGTCTTAAATATGTGCAAGAGCTTCACGGATTGAAGGCGATTCCTTTTCGAAATGTGGCTCTCGCCATAGCGCCGCGCACATTCGTTTATGCATGTTGGAAGAGTTTCCCGGATCTCCATGATCAACGTACCAGAAATGGTGTTTGGGAAGGGTTCCGGATCTTGCAGTTGCAACAGTTACGTTGATTCGCGGTGTTGAAATCCCAGGAATGGCGTTCTGGCACGATCCAGGGTCGTCAAGACCCAACAATCAGGTTGATCAATGGCGTTGGAATCCCGAGAGTAATGTTTTGGCATGCTTCAGGGTCTTCAATCGGTTGCCTTCCAAGGAGGCAGTTCCCTCGATGGAAATGAACCGTTCTGGGAGCCTATGGAGAAGAAGCTTGATGGGAGGGTGTATTCCAACATCGTTGATGGCTCGTGGGTTTACACTGGTCCTCCTCCTCCTCCTCCGCCTCCTCCTCCTCCTCCTCTTGCCTCCTCCTCCTCTTGCCTCGTCCTCCTCCTCCTCAACCTCCTCTTCTTCCTCCTCCTCCTCATCATCATCCTCATCATCATAAACATCACCACCACCACCACCATCCTGCTCCTCCTCCTCCTCCTCCTCCTCCTCCTCCTGCTGCTCCTGCTCCTGCTCCTGCTCCTGCTCCTGCTCCTGCTCCTGCTGCTCCTCGTCCTGCCTCCTCTCTCCTCCTCCCCTCCTCCTCCTTTTCCTCCTGTTGCTCCTGCGTCCCCTCTCCTGCTCCTGCTCCTCCTCCTTCTCCTACCTCCTCCTGATCCTCCTCCGCCCTCCTCATGCTGCTCACTCCTCCCCCTCCTCCTCTCCTCCTCCTCCTCCTCCTCTCATCCTCCTCCTCCTCATCCTCTCCTCCGTCCTCCTCCTCCTCCTCCTCCTCCTCTTCCCCTCCCTCCTCCTCCCCTCCTCCTCCTCCTCCTCCTCCTCCTCCTCCTCCTCCTCCTCCTCTCCTCCTCCTCCTCATTCTCCCCCTCCTCCTCCTCCTCCTCCTCCTCCTCCGCCTCCTCCTCCTCCTGCTCCTCTCCTCCTCCTCCTCCTACCTCCTCCTCCTCCTCCTCCTCCTCCTCCTCCTCCTCCTCCTCCTCCTCCTCCTGCTCCTAGCCTCCCTCTCCTCGTCACTCCTCTTCCTCCCTCCACTCCCTCCTCCTCTTCATCCTCCTCCTCCTCTGTCCTCCTCCCGCCTCCTCCTTCCTCCTCCTCCTCCTCCTCTTCCTCCTCCTCCGCGTTCTCGCCTCCTCCTCCTCCTCATCATCATCATCCAGCAGCATCATCATCATCACGTCATCCGCAGGCATCATCATCAGCATCAGCATGAGCAAATCAGCATCAATCCACATCATCAGCCATCATCACCATCATCATGCAGTAGCAATCATCATCATCATCATCATCAGCATCATCATTCCATCATCATAATCCATCATCAGTCAATCATCATCATCAGCAAGCATCATCATCATCCATCATCTCATCAATCATCGTCATCATCATCATCATCATCACATTCATCATCGACCATAAATGATCAATCAGCATCATCAGCAGCAGCAATCATCATCATATTCGCTGGCCCAACGGGCCAGAGGCGTGCTAAGATCTCCGGTAACTGCTCAACAATATTTCTAGTTCGCGCGCGCGGGGCGGGCCCTGGGGGTCCCCGAACCCTCAAGAACGTTTTTCCGGAGCCCAGGAGGGCTCCAAATCGGTCCAACACGGGCCCGAGAAGCCCTCCAGACGGTCCAAGAGAGCCGGGAGACGCCGACATATCACTCCCAAACGCCTACGATGGCCTCAAGACGGCCCAACAGGCCCTCAAGACGCCCCAAGAGGTTCCTCAGAGGGCCCTAAGCGGCGTCCCAAGAGGGCTCCCACAAGCAAAAATCGTCTCATTCCCTTGGGAAAACGTGCATTTTTAACATATCCGCCTCTTCGTCTTTCACACCTTTCAAGGCGGTCCAAGAGGCCCCCAAGATCGCCCCAAGACGGCCCGAGAGACCCTCAAGACCGCTCAAAGACGGCCCAAGAGCGCTCCAAGAAGGCCCAAGAAACCCTCAAGAACCTTTTTTCCGGAGCCCAGGAGGGCTCCAAATCGGTCCAAGAGGGGTCCGAGAAGCCCTCCAGACGGTCCAAGAGAGCCGGGAGACGCCGAAATATCACCCCCAAGCGCCTACGATGGCCTCAAGACGGCCCAACAGGCCTTCAAAACGCCCCAAGAGGTCCCTAACAGGTCCCTAAGCGGCGTCCCAAGAGGGCTCCCACTAGCAAAAATCGTACCATTCCCTTAGGAAAACGTGCATTTTTAACATATCCGCCTCTTCGTCTTTCAC